AGAGCTCAACGACTCTGGCCCGAGCAGATATAAACAAAACGCTATTGGCTATTTTAAAAAGGGGGCGGGGCTGCTCAATATGTCCCGCCCTCTCTTCCTGTTTCAGTTGAAATTACGTCACACATAGAATAATGCTGCGTGTTTCAAGGCACTTCAGGGGACCTTTAAATACTAGTGTGTACAGTATTGTGCAGGTTTTTTGACAGACAAAATGCTACATTCAGCTGTTGCAAATTTGTTGACTTTTGAAAATCAAGTTCTTTAACCAGGTTTTGATGCACAAAGTTGTTTGTGTTATCTCTTATAATAAACATTTTATTTAAACCTATCAAAAAATGCAGATCCTGTTGTAAATAATACTGAAAAATCACTTTTTATCACTTTTTTGTTGTCCCATTATTAGTCATCCAGTTATATCCATTATTAGTCATTATTTGACTCATATGAGATGAGGACATAGCGGAGACCCTTTTGAAGGATATTAGTTTATGTATGCCCTTTTTGAGTATTTGAGCTTAACTGAGACTTCAGTGTTTGTAGACGTTTAAGAGGCTGTTGTGTTGACCTTTTGCAATTTTGAGGTACTCAGTTGTATTTTGATTTTACAAAATAAACGCAAGTGTTCTCCTCACAAATCAAATTCTTGTTTTTCACTGGCATTTCGCTTAAGAGTTGAGGATTATTGCATATTTGAGCCTATATTCATTACAAGTAAAATACTTAAGTATTGTTAAAAACCAGATACTCTAAACGCCCATTCACACCAAGAGCGATAACTATAAAGATAACTATATTAGCATCCACACCAGCGGACGATATCGTCTGTTTATTCCAAGCTCATGCTCGTCTGCCGCTTTAAACTCTCGAGCTCGTTATGGCAGGATTGATTCTGATTGGCTGTCAATGTTTTTATCGTTCATCAGCTGGAAAAAAATAATTCAGAAAGTGATTCCATATCTTTTCTCTGTGCCTTTATCGTTATAGCTGTGGTGTGGACTCTGCTATTCTTTAATATTGAGAATGATTTTTAGAACGATATCTTTATCGTTATCTTTATAGTTATCGTCCTTGGTGTGAACAGGCCTTAAGACTTTTACTTATTCAATTTCTCAAGCCTAATCATCCAGTCCTGTCAATCATCGCTATGCCGGTATATAAACAGCAGTCATTGTTGTGTTCCAGGGAAAATTCTTCCGGCTTCCCTCCACCTCCCCTTCTCCTCCGCTAATTCCTTCTCTTTTTCTTACTCGGAGCTAGAGCTGAGCCTCGGGTTCGAGTCTCCTTCACGAACAGCCAGGCTCTTTTAACATTATCAGTTAGGGCTGAATGGGCAGGCGTACTCGTGAAAGCTATATAGGAATTGGTCACTTGTAACTTTTAATAAATTAATTTCTGCTGTATGGTATCTGTGCTTTTATTCAAGGATGGTTTTCAGGTACTTTTTACACCACTGGAATTAAATTACTTTGCACACCAAAAAGACCGAACACGCAGGAAACCTTCAGCCACCACTGCATATGGTCGTTGGGCCAGTTAGGTGGACTTTACAACATGATGATTTAGTGACAGTAGCTTTCTGTGAGATTCACTATCATCCGTTTGTCCTGCAGAAGCAGCTGAAGGAGACGCAGGAGACGCTCCAGCAGAGAATCCAGCAGAGAGAGAAAGATCTTCAGCAGCTGAGAGAGGCTGTGGAGTCTCATAAGGTGAGTCTGGAGAAGAAGAGAAGTTTGTCTCCGTCTCAGTTCAGACTCACTGAAGCCTGAATCACTGTGTGTCCTAACAGCGCTCTGCACAGACAGCAGTGGAGGACAGTGAGAGGATCTTTACTGAGCTCATCCGCTCCATTGAGAGAAGCCGCTCTGAGCTGATACGGCTGATCAGAGATCAGGAGAAGACTGCAGTGAGTCGAGCTGAAGGACGACTGGAGCGACTGGAGCAGGAGATCAATGATCTGAGGAGGAGAGACGCTGAGCTGGAGCAGCTGGAGCACACACAGGATCACATCCAGTTCCTGCAGGTAACAGAGATCTAGAAGAATAGGATCAGAGTGGACTTGAGCAGATCCTGCTGTGACAGAGAAACGTTTCATAATTGCAGAATGAAACAAAACTGTAAATTAGCAATGCTTCAGAGTATTGAAACCAAACCTGACCGTGTCTTAAGGGTCCTTGTGAAGTTTCAGTGTCTCTAACCGGTCTAAAGTTATACATAATAGGCGTTTCTAGTCCTTTGAGCTGCTTTTCCTGAGCAGATCTACTCAACCCTACAGTGAGACTCCATTGATGTGTTTGAGCTGTTAGATGGACATTTATGACCCTGGAGCACAAAAGCAGTCTTAAGTCTCAGGGGTATATTTGTAGCAATAGCCAAAAAAAAATTGCATGGGTCAAAATTATCGATTTTTCTTTTATGCCAAAAATCATTAGGATATTAAGTAAAGATCATGTTCCATGAAGATATTTTGTAAATTTCTTACCGTAAATATATCAAAACTTAATTTTTGATTAGTAATATGCATTGCTAAGAACTTCATTTGGACAACTTTAAAGATGATTTTCTCAATATTTAGATTTTTTTGCACCCTCAGATTCCAGATTTTCAAATAGTTGTATCTCGGCCAAATATTGTCCTATCCTAACAAACCATACATCAATGGAACACTTATTTATTCAACTTTCAGATATATAAATCAGATGTATAAATCTCAATTTCGAGAAATTGACCCTTATGACTGGTTTTGTGGTCCAGGGTCACATTTATGTTCTTAGCAGATGTTTTATCATCTAAACTATTTCCTAGAAAGTTCATATATAGTGTAAGTGGCAAATACTAGAATCTGTAGCTCTAATGTGATGTAATGAATATGAGAAGAATGAAGCTGATGCTGTGAAAGCGCTGGCTTGAGATGAGTTACTAAAGATAAGTAAATTCCACAAGAGCCGCACAAATCTGATGTTCCTGCAGGTTATTGGGTGAAATGTGGAGCTGATGAGTTTTGATTTCTGTTTTCTGTAGAGTTTCCAGTCTCTCTCAGCACCTCCTGAATCTACAGATGTAAATGACGATTCCTTCAGTTCTCTCCTCTCTTTTGATGGCCTGAGAGAATCTGTTCATGAGCTGAGAGATAAACTGGAGGATTTCTGCAAAAAGGAGCTCAAGAAGATCTCAGACAGAGGTAAAGTCCTGGAGATGTATCCATCATCATCATCTCAGATCATGGAGAACATCATATTAGAAATGTCTTAGGAATGGATGCAGGGATCATTTTATCTTGACATAATAAATTTGTATTTATTATCATTTTTTCTAATAAATTTCTTATTATTTTTAACATTTTGTCTTAAATTTAAACATACATGTCTATATTTTATATTTACATTGATATTAACATATTGACAAGCTGTAAGATATATGTGTGTGTGTGTGTGTGTGTGTGTGTGTGTGTGTGTGTGTGCATAAACAACACAGGAGGTGTGTGTTTATAGGTATACAATAAATTAATGCAAATGAATACATTAGGGATTTATGGCACAAATCTTACTGGCAAAGAGATTAGAACACCTCCATAAAACATCTCAGTCAAAATGCAGTCTCATTTACTGCATTTGAATGTTTGTTGTCAGTGTGAACAGAAGTACTAACTGACATTCATTCAAATTTACGATGTTTATGGCACTGATTTTCAAATGTGTGTCTTGTTGTGAACAGGTCTTAAAGTATTTGAGTGAAATATTTATTTTTGGACATTTTTAGATTAGATGGTGTTGGGTAATATGGTAATGTCGTTTTTATGAGAGCATCACCAAAAAAAAGAGAACCACTTGTGTGTACAATAGTTAAGACATGCTTAAAAACAGACCATTTGTCTCAGTTGCTACTACAGGTCCCTCTGTGTACTACAACCAGTCTTCAGCAGATTATTCACATCCTCTACATACTGCTACAAAAATTACACCAACAAAGGTAGTGGAGGGATTTCATGTAAACACAATATATTACACATTGCAGTAAAGGGGCATAGAATCAATAAAGTATTGTTTGTTTATCTCTGCAGGGCCCTGTAAAATGGATGAATCGTCTTCCTCCACAGCAGCATATGTATGCCTATCAACAATCAACACACACCCCACCTCTCCAGTCACCAGCAGTCCCATTTGGCACTGTATTTGGTGCTCAGTTTACCAAGAAAGAGGATCAGTGGGACTGTGACTCCTGCCTAGTGAGGAATGAAGCCTCAGCAACTGAATGTGTTGTTTGCAAAGCCCCCTGCAGCATTGAAAAAAGTAATGCAGCATCACAAAGTGGGTTAACTTCCATGTTTGGTAAAAAAGATGGACAGTGGGATTGTGACTATTGCCTGATAAGAAATGAAGGTTCATCAAACCATTGTGTTTCATGTCCGACAGCAAACCCAAATTTAAAAAACAAGACCTTTGCTGCACCGTCAAGTTCCTCTTTTACCTTTAGTTTCGGAAGTTCTAGCAGCCAACCTGCTGCAACAGGATTTAAAGCCAATTTCATTCCAGGCCCTGCTTTTCAGTTCGACACATGTAAGGATAAAGCATCCTCAGAAGGCTTCAAGTTTGAGTCCTCTACAACGAAGGCTGAAAAGTCATCAAGCAGGTTTTCGTTTTCCATGCCGGCGCCTGTTGGTGGATTTAAGTGTGGCATTGCAGAAGCTGAGGCAAAACCATCAGACAGACAGTCACAAAATGGATCTGCATCTGACCTCCTCAAAAATATTGCAGAGCTTCACAAAGAGAAAGAAAAAGAGGCAGCCCCAAGTTCCTCAGATCAGTCTGTAGACGCTGATAGCCACACTAATAATCCCCTCATTACTGGAAAGCCTAACACTTTTAGTTTCACTGACTTGGCTAAGTCACTAGGCAGTTTTCAGTGTGGCCAGAATGATCCTGCTTTCAAAGGCTTTGCAGGGGCTGGCGAGCAGCGCTTTACAGGAGTTCATTGTAGCCTCAAGGCAGACACCTCTTTTGATCAAGATGATGAAATCTACAAAACCGAGGAGAATGGCGATATTCAGTTTGAGCCCGTTGTTCAGATGCCGGAGAAGGTCGACCTTGTTACAGGGGAAGAAGTTGAGAAAGTCTTGTATTCACAGCGTGTCAAACTCTTCAGATTTGATACGGAAATAAGCCAATGGAAAGAAAGAGGAGTCGGCAACCTTAAACTGCTCAAGGATAACCAGAACGGGAGACTTCGAGTTCTTATGAGGAGAGAGCAGGTGTTGAAAGTGTGTGCTAATCACTGGATCACAACCACAATGAACTTAAAGCCCCTCTCTGGCTCGGATCGAGCCTGGATGTGGGTAGCCAGTGACTTCTCAGATGGAGATGCCAAATTAGAACAACTTGCTGCAAAATTCAAAACACCTGAGCTTGCAGAAGAGTTCAAGCTAAAATTCGAGGAGTGTCGGCGACTGCTTTTGGATATTCCTTTGCAGACGCCTCACAAGCTCGTGAACACTGGCAGAACAGCCCAGCTTATAAAGCAAGCTGAAGAAATGAAATCTGGGCTTAAGAATTTCAAATCATTCTTGACTTGCCAAAACAAGGATGACAAAAGTGGCGATACAAGTCATAGTACCTCTGCAGTTGTAGTCAAGCTCAACTCTGAAAGCACTGCTCCCACTTTAGAATTGGAAAATTATGATTTGTAAGAGGAAGTGCATGAGGACTATGCCAACTCCTCTGTGCACGATACCCCTTCGCAGCCAGATCCAGTAGCAAAAAATATATTCCGCTTTGGCGAATCGTCCACAGGCTTCAGTTTCAGTTTTCAGCCTATTCTCAGTCCCTCTAAATCTCCATCTAAGCTAAACCAGAGCCAGGCTTCTGTTGGCACAGATGACGAACAAGAAGCATCGCAGGAGGAAGAGCGAGATGGTCAGTACTTTGAGCCTGTTGTGCCACTGCCTGATCTTGTTGTGGTCTCAACAGGAGAGGAGAACGAGCAAGTCCTTTTCAGTCACCGGGCCAAATTATACCGCTACGATAAAGATCTTAGTCAGTGGAATGAACGAGGTATAGGAGACCTTAAAATACTACAACACTATGAAACAAAGCGTGTCAGACTCGTGATGAGACGGGACCAGGTCCTCAAACTGTGTGCAAACCATTGGATTGCTTCCAATATGAAGCTCGAGCCCATGAACGGAGCCGAGAGAGCGTGGATCTGGAGTGCCTTTGATTTTGCTGAAGGGCAGGGCAAGGTTGAACAGCTGGCAGTTCGATTTAAACTGCAGGAAACTGCAAATGCTTTCAAAGAAGTCTTCGAAGAGGCAAAGACTGCACTGGAAAGAGACACTCTACTCACCCCATTTTCTGTAAGAGTACCTGCCTCTACCCAGTAGATGCTTTGTGGCAAGGCTGCAGTTGGAGCTAAACACATCTCTGGTTTAGGTTCTAGATAGTTTCTTCACTTTTTTTAATGAGGACATTCTTCGTTCCTAGTTTATTGGTGTATGTTGCCTCTGAAATGACTTCTTTACAGCTGACATCATTTAAGCCCATATTTCTGTCGTATTGATACTGATTTTCAACCATTCAGTTCTTGAGAGGATTCAATCCTTCAACAAAATGACAAAAAGCTTTAAACACGTTATTTTTTTTAGGTATGGATTTTAGGTTTTTCAAAAATAATCGGTAACACTTTAGTATAGGGATCAATTCTCACTATTAACAAGTTGCTTATTTGCATGCCTATTAAAGGGGTCATATGATGCGATTTCAAGTTTTCCTTTCTCTTTGGACTGTTACAAGCTCTTGGTGCATAAAGAAGATCTGTAAAGTTGCAAAGACTAAAGTCTCAAATCCAAAGAGATATTCTTTATAAAAGTTAAGAGTTAACCACGCCTACCTAAAACGGCTCGTTCTAACATGCCCCCACATGTCTACGTTACTATGTGGAAATATTAGCATAATGCCGCCCAAATGTTCACGCAAAGAAAGAAGGCGTGGTTTCAGGAACAGCAGTAGTGTTGATGCAGCATGCATTAAAGCATGTCAACATATTCTGTTACACCAAATACACAAAATAATGATCTTTAAAATAGCATCATATGACCCCTTTAATAGTATATTTGCTATTTATTAGTACTTATAAAGCACATATTCTAAATTCTACCTAAACTTAACAACTAAATTATAAAGCAGTATTTAGGAGTTTACTGAGGCAAAAGTCATAGTTAATAATTAATTAATAGCGAGAATTGGACCTTAAAATAAAGTGTGACCAAATAATCCTATGGCTTTTTGGACCTGCACATCAGCCACACAGTTTAAAGCCCAAGGTATTTCAGGTCACCGTTTACTGTGGCACATGGAGCTCTCACTGACTGGCATGAGCCGGGAGACCTGACCTTGGCTGAATGATGTGATAACCCAACATTACTCCCCTGTTCTCAATCCAAACATTCACATGACCTGAAATCTGCTACCCTTTATGTTTGTTTGAAGCTTCAGTAGAATTTACAATTAAGGTGCACCATTGCTTCCAAATCCTATTCAGCCGTGAGTGTCTTGTAAAGTGATAAATGTGACACTAGCAGGTGAATTTGTCCTTCCAAGTATTTCTATCTTGGCAATGTAGTTACGAGTATTTTTGGTTCTGCTATATATTGTAGACGTAGCAGCAGTTTTCTTGCATTGTAGTCAGCTGCTGACTTTTCTGCTGATGTTTACCCTAAAAAATAGAGCTATTTTTGCCAACTTACCAACTAACATGATTCCTGTACAGAGTTAAGTGTTTATGTGGTTACACTTTACTATCTTAACCACAGTGTTTCTTAAGCTATATGATGGGTTGCATTATTTCTCTCACAAATATTGATTTTGATTAATAGAATTTACATTAAAGGGGTCATGAACTGAGAAATTCCCTTGATCTTTTGACATAATTTATAACCGATATAACGTAAGTACGTATGTAAACATTTAATTTACTACAGTTGCAGAGTGCAATATATATATATCGCAACTTGGCTTCTCTAAAATGTAAAAAAGCTCTTTGGTGTTGTACTGTACACATACTATAAAATTCAGATTTTTTTTTTCTTTCATATGTGCTTATATGGGCTCCTTATATCGTTTGGTTCTTTGGTGTCCTTTTGGTGTTTCTAAGTGTCCTTTTTGGAAAGACATCTAAATTTATCTTGAAAAAAGCTTGCAGAAAATACAGATTTTTGAGAATCACCCTTCAATCTTTTGGTTTACTTTGCTGGATGTAGCAAATGATGACAAAATAAATATTTGAAACAAGACAAATGGTCTATGCTTAATTGCATGAAGTGTGCGATTAATCGCGATTAATCACAGAAAAGGGGTGTGATTAATTAGATTAAAATTTTTAATAAATTGACAGCCCTAATGTGTATATATATATATATATATATATATATATGTATGTATAAATGTATATATGTATGTATATATATATATATATATATATATATATATATATATGTGTGTGTGTGTGTGTGTGTGTGTATATGTATATCTATGTGTATATGTATATATAGATTGTATTTTGTATTGACAGTATTTCAGTATATATTGAAATACAGTTCATGCCACTATTAGTCACTTTCAGAGTTGAGGATTTTAATGGCATTAGGAATAAAAGACCTCTTAAACACTTCCTGACCACAAAGGCTCAAACTGACCAAAGAGAGGATGAGAACTATCTGCTAGAATACTCCTCGCCACCTTCTTTGTCCTTTCAGCGTAGAGAGCTTCTGTATCCTACCTACTATTTTACTTGCCATTACCACAATTCTGGACAGTTTGTTCTTGGATTTGCAGTTTAAATGATCGTACAAGGCAGGAATATGAAAAGTGAATACACTCTCAACAATGGATTTGTACACTAAATGATTAAATGATTTTAAATGATTACAATAATTATTGTACCTTGAGGCAAAGGATTTACTCAAATGATTTTAGCATTTTCAGCTTGTTACAGGGCGGACCTGAAAATCTCAATCTTCACCCAGATGCATCTACAATATGAAACAAACAAACAAACATCAAATAATAAAGCTGGGCACACCAGTGTGAATACACATACAAATGCTCATTAAACCTCTTAGACTGACATTTATCTGGGGAAATTAATAATCTAGCACTGGCTCTCTGTTCATCTGTGAGCAGTGGAAATGTGGCTCTGGGTGTTCCTCATGCTACAGTTTACTGAGTCTACTACAGGCTACTAACAGAGAGATTTACATTTTGCCAAAGAGGTTCTCCAAATACCGATAAATCAGCATTAATAAAGGCAAAACACTGAATCGGTTTATTTGGTCTTTCATCCCATTTATGAATGTCACACTCAATTGATCACTGTCTGTGAAGAGAAACTGCAATAGAGAATGTAAAATACTATGTAACTTGAAAATGAAAACAGATCAAAATTGAAGGTTTGTATTGTATGACTGGGATTTTGGGGGAATATTTGGTTGTCAGCCAGGGAAAACCATACAGTATTTCCAATCAGTAAAAAAAAAAAAGATATGGCACAATAGGTCAGAATAGACTGAAGGTACAGCGTTTAACAAATATATTGACCAATAATAATATATGTCAAGCCAGCTCATTTACTTAATACTGTGCGATTTACGTTTCTATAAGAGGAAGGAAACTTAAACAAAGGCAGAGAAAATAACTAGATATTGCAAAGATGAAGGAAAATACAGTTTTCAGAAAAGCAATATGGGAGAATAAGAATCAACAAGAGAGGACAAAACAAAAAAGCTGTTAATAGTAGTTTCAGTAATTACAGCTGCAGTGTTCGTTTGTGCAGGATTTTATTTGGATGCCTTGTTTCATACGTGTTAATAGAGGGAAAGGAACTGGTTTAGACAGAGCATGTTTAAATCCTAATATTCAAATGGGCTTTCTGTTTGGCTCAAACGCTTCTGACCCACTGCTAATTATCATAAAGGCCTGAATGTGGAAAAATAGACGTCATTCAATTCTGACTGCTGGCAACTGCGTTAGCATGCATGCTTTTTTGTTTGTTTGAAGGATGAGGCAGTTTTCCAAATAAGCCTTGATGAAATTTCCATTTATAGGAGGACGGTGGCCGCTAATTACAGTCAAATCTCTGGAAGCAAACCCAATGCCTCCAGCAAAAGAAAATACTTCATCCCCTAACCTCCTCTAATAAATGTTTATTCAGAGAAAGCTGTAATTATGCTTTGCATAGGGTTTTTTTTTTAGTACATAATGAGCCGAGCTACGTCATTTTGTCTAAAATAGCGAAACGAGGTCATAATGGAATCAAATTGTTAATGAAGACAATATTACAGATTATGCTTGGCATTGAATTTGATGAATTTTTATCACTTGTCCCTTAAGATAGGCATGAAAATTTGACTTTGTGTATAAAGTTTTTTTTTTCAGTCCTGAAGAATAAATTGTCTAAGAACTATGCTGAATATTTCCACATTGAGGGACTTCCACAGTTGTTAATTTTACTGAATCTTCTCTTGCCTATGTTACTCCAAAAAAATGTACACACATCAGCTAAAGCCTCACAGATCATTGATGGACAAATGCATTTTGCAGAAGCAAACATGTAATTAAATGGCCATTGCAGGAGACTTCATACAGTTATTTTAGAAACGATTAAATATTCATACAGAAGACATTTCCTCTGATTCACACTGAAAACAGCATAACTGGAGCACGCTGCTGTAGTTTCTGAGGAGTGTGATTGTGTTAAATAAATGAGCTAATTGGTGAAACCTAATGAAAAGACACAGGGTAAGAATGTTCATTTCAAACCATCAACCAATGAAATCAGTGAAAGTGTAAGGGAGTAGCAATTAAACACTAAACCTGTCGTCTGTGCACTTTAGTAATTAGTGTTCATTTTCTGGCATTAGAGTTGGTTAGGGTGAACGAACGCAGTGCCATCAGTGAGATAAATGTGCTCCTTCTACAGTTTCTTTGGCGGTTATGAAACTCTTCTTGTGTTTAGCAACCAAAAGTTTGATTTTGAAATTTGGAGTCAAATTACAGCAGCTGAAAGCATCGCTCTTGACTGATGAATCTCTGAGTTCAGGAGGCTGGAAGCAGGTCTCAGTATATTTCAGTCTGGAGAAAAGACACTCCATGATGAAAAGCAGCCAGCGACTACACAGCCGAGTACAGCAGAGGCAAACACATAAAACACATCTCTTCTACTGTACCTCTTTCTTTTAACCATTTCCTTCATTTATTTCATACAAATGCTGAATTTGAAACATGATTCAAAATATGGAAATCAACTAAATCCAGGGTCATAGCTGATTCTGTTACTGTGTCTTAAAGTCATAGTTTACTTAAAAATGAAAATTCTGTCATCATTTATTCTCCCTTATGTCGTTTCACATCCATATGACTTTGGTTCATCTTTGGAACACTAATTAAAGGGATAGTTCACCCCAAAA